ACTTACAAATTACTTTTTATACACAAACAGTGATGATTACTAATAGTTTAAATTTCCTTTCTTGTTATACATTTAAGACTACTACTTATCTTTCAAGAAAAGTCATGCCACAAATACAAGGGGGACAGAATTGATAAGACCAGGGCTTATTTCTTAGTTTGACTCAGTACAGGTTACAAAGATCAACAAGTCAAAAAATGTGAGATTTTCAAATAGTTTAATTTATTTCATAAATACCTTTATGATCACGTTTCTTCTTCAATTTCATATAAAACACGATAAACTCTAACCACCCCTCACAACCAGACGTGTCCACCAACACCAGCTACCAGAACCATCACAATCAGCAGCTTACGAGACTTGCAGTACCAGAACTGCCAAATAATTGTGATCCACATATGACACACCCCATGATGAGAAATATGTATACTAATGTTTCTCTCGTAAATATTTGTTCGAGAAAATCAATCTCATTGAAGAATGAGTGAAAACAAACGTAAAAACTATCAGAACCCTTCAGGAGTAAAACTATCGCTACAATTCTACAAAATCACTTGGGTCATTAGCGGCATGATGTTGGTCACCTGTCACTGCCAAATCTTTCACGCATGCAAATTTTTCTATCGCCTTTTGTGATAGTGTAGGAACTCTCGCTTACGGAGATTGTATTAAATGGTAGAAAATGACAGGATTCAAAATTGACTGCAGTAAATGTAAAACAAATTTTGCCGCAGTTCAAAAGTTAGCATTTATTGCAAAGACAACTATAGGAATTGTCTATGAATATTATTTATTATGTTTTAATAACTCCCAGATACTAAGCCTTGTTTTATATTACGTTGCTCTAAAAATATCGTAACTTTAGTTCATACAGGAACAATTAAAATTTCATCAATTTTCTTTACAAGAAACTACGAAGACACAGAGAAGAGCCGGGGTCGGCAAAGACTACCGGGGTCGAAGGAAACGAGTCAAATGAGATTCTGCTAAATTCAACACAAATGATAGAATTTCGTGGGTAATGAACTTAAAAATCCAAAAAGCTTTGTTTCGAGAATCATTTGAGTTGCAATGAAGTTCAAATATGGAAAAGTGACATGTTCGTATTTCGAAATGTTCAATGAGTGATACAAGTACTTAATTTGAATGTGTAAAAAAATGGCTTGTGAAGTATTGTTCCCACGTGGAGTGTAGAACTTAGAAGTTTGTTTGTCATGTGATTTGTGATTCCAAACTTATATTAACATGGTTCAGGTACTTAAATAAATGTCCATATTGGTTTTACACCTTATAATATTCATTTCAGGGGTACGGAAAGTGGTAAATGTGAAGTTTTTCTTGGCCTTTTCGCTTTAAATTCTTCCATGTTTTTAAAAGATGGCAGATTATTGACATTTGGTTGGATTGATTTTTTTAAAAAAAACTTTTCGGGTACCAAATTCTAACTTTTGTAAGGCCGAAGAAACATTTTTACTACTTTAGAAACTTTAAACGATAATTCATGATTTTAGGCTTTGGATGAAATAGTACCCCGGGATTTACCCGAGGCATTTAAACTCCTTCGGGAAATGCACGACAATGTACAGCAAGTTACTCAGCTGGTAGACAATATGCTCGCTCGTGTAAAACGAGGAGAGATGTCCACGGATAAAGTAAGAATTTTTGAGTTCAATTTACATGAAATTGCTAGCGCCTAGTTTAAACAACTTTTGAATGAAACTTTCAAGTTAAAAGCTTTTTAGCATATTAAATGAGCATAATAAGTAGTAACCTATTAAACAGTGTATTTTATTCCCAATACTCTTTCAGGGCTTAAGTTTTTTGGAGGTTAAGTATCATATGCTCCTTAGTTACCTCATAAATTTGACATATGTTGTTCTTCGGAAATGTTCTGGTCGGAAAATTGAAGATGACCCAGCCATTGGTAAATTTTCTGTTTTTTATTTTCTAATGCAACAGTGTTAATATTTGCGATGTGCCAATTACACATATTTATTTTTATTGCAGATCGTTTGGTTGAGATACGTACAGTATTGGAAAAAATGCGCCCTATTGATCACAAGTTGAAGTATCAAATTGATAAATTGGTGAAGACTGCAGTGACAGGGTCTATAAATGAAGATGATCCCACAAACTTCCGTGCCAATCCGGAGAATTTAATTCCCAAAGTAGGTGAATAATCTTTTGAATTTAACATTACATTTTATATTTAAATGATGCATTTTATATGAATTGTTTTAGCTAAATGGCTCTGATGAAAGTGACAGTGATGAGGATGAAGAAAAAGACAAGCAGTTTTCGAAGGAGAAAAAAGGAGTTTATGTTCCACCAAAATTAGCTGCGGTTCATTATGGTAATGCCGGTTGATATTACGTATTTTCAATTTACTTCATGCAGCATCATGTATAAATGGATGTATTACATTTTAGATGGGGATGAAAATCAAGCTGATTATCAGAAACGCCTCAAGGAACGAGCACAAAAGAGAGCAATAAGCATGACAGTGATGCAAGAACTGTGTGATGAATATCTTGACACTCCAACTGAAATCACTAATGTGAGCTCACAGCAGGCTGTAATGAAAAGAGAAGATAGAGAAAGAGAAATGTAGGTTTGATTTTGAATGTGATGGTTAAAAATAAATAAATAAATAAAGTCCCTAATGATAAATATTTTTTTCAGATACGAAGAAAATTATCTAACCCGCCTGCCAGTGACTAAACAAGAGCACCACAGAAATAGAAAGTTAATGACTATTGGGACCTTGGGAGACGATTTAACTCAGTTCGAAGATGGGCCAGGGAGCTCTGGTGGTTCGAAGAATAAGAAGAGGAAAGTAATTAAAGGCAAAGGGAAAAAAGGTGTAGTAAATTTATTTAGAAATAAAACAAAGTGTAATTTTTGTTTGTTTAACTAATACAATTTTATTAATTTCAGGTTTCAAGAAGAGGAAGTTCCACTAGGATTTGAAGTGGTCAATGTATACTGCTAGGTCTCGAGTACTAAGGGACCATATCGAAGGATTGTCAGGTTGTTAAGTTTTGTTAATTTTTCTTTTCTATTGTTATTGACAGAAAGTAAGGTTGTTTAAACTTGATTTTCTCTATGAGAGAACTTGGTTGGGTTGATTGGAAATTTATGGTGGCGTGATTCCTTTTGTGATTCATTTTTTTTTTTGGAAATTCTCTTAAAAATAAGAGAGGTGTGTAAAAAAAAAAAAATGAACACTGGAATGACTGCAGAAGCACAAACCAGGAGAGTATGGGCTGGTAGGGGTTGAATACGTTTGGCAGCAAGACATATTAGTGCGTCACGCACCACTTGGAGTCAAAAGCATTAGTCATAAAATTCCTCTTATTGCAAAATTGCATTGGTTATAAAATTAAATTTCTAGCATTAACAATATAAAGAAAAATAATAAGTTCATTGATTTGAATGAATCAGTTCACTTGAATTACAGAATCTAAGAAACTGCCACCATAAACTTTCGATTTGCCATTGATTATTTGTCAACTTTTTCTATTCATGTTATTTACCTTTAATGTTCTCATAACCTGAATATTGCAAATAAGTGTGTTTGTGGTGATAATTATTGTGAAAGTATACATGATCATCAGTGTGTAGCTGTATAAAAGAAAAATAGTTTACGTTGGTGGCTTAGGTAATGAAGAAGTGATCTCTTTTTTTTTCGGCTAATGTGGAGAACACGGTACGACTTAAGGAAATTGTTTAAACCGGCACTTAGCACTGCTCAGGTGAGGGGAAATTCACACTGGATGGGACGAGGCGTAATAAGGGGTTTTGATGAGAATGTTTCAGTGGGTAGCAGCAATAAAGAATGTATGTAACGTGTGGGTAATTAAATAAATTTTAAAATTAAACCAGTAAAATAATTATAATACTTTGTGGTAGGTATCTTTCTTAGCTACGTCATTTCAGGCCCTGGTACCTTGTGGGAGCACCATTACTATTTTGCCTGTTTAGGCAAAAGTTGCGTAGAATTAATTTACATTTTTTTGCACTTATTTTGACTTCATGCTGTGTTGGCTAAATTTCCATCAAACCTTAATGTTTCTTGTGCTTTTTCTGATTTTTGTGTTTTGTTTTTGGTCATAGAGTGTTTGCGTTACGATGGTAAGAATTAATGTTCTTTAAGTGTGGTGCCAAAAGGGGTGTTTGGCCATGAATAAATGGGCTCAAAACTATGGGTTGATTGCAACTGGGTTTGTGTGTCCGTGTATATGTTCTTATGAGGTTGGCCAAGTGGAAGTTTTTCTGTGATAGCTTCGAATGGAAGTGTTGTAAGAAAGAGGCCATTCATATGCATAAGTGTTCTGCGTGAAAGGAAGTGGTTCGCAAGAAACAAAATAAATACGAAAGATTCTTACCTTTCCTTGGGGATAACTTACAGTAATCCAACTTACATGAAACAGCACTTCTGTTAAAGTTGTATTTGTTTTATTTCAAGGCGCGTTTCCTAGTTTTGGAGGAAGGTTATAAGATCCCCCCCCCCATGTCTCCTATTCCCCAAGTCGTTCCTACCCCCCCCCTTCTCTCTCTCTGCCCCTTCCTGCCATGTGTTGTCCTCTGCTCGCTTCTCTAGGTGTACTGTGTTCTCTACATGAACCTTTTTTGGATTTGAAATGAAGATGAAATTTCAGTTATAAATGGGTGTTAGAAAAAGGACTGAAAAATTCCCAGTTCTAGTAACAAGAGAAGGATTTGTAAAACATTTCCTGGTTTTCCTTTAAAACACCTGAAATTGTTACATATTATTTATCAAGTTTTTAAAATGATTTTTTAAAAATTTTCTGTAGAGCTTATGATGATAAAACTTACTACTTACTACTCTGTATCTTCCAAACTTTTGAATGTTTTGATAAAAAAAAGTGGGTGGATTAGTTTACTGACGTATATTTCAGGATGGGGAATTACATGGAGTTTTTATTCAAATTGCAAGGAGAAATTAAAAGAAATTGAATTATTTAACTTTTAAGAATTTTTCAAAATTTAACTTAAACGGGCATATTTTCTGAAATATGAGGTGTTACCGATCACAATTAATGAGATGAAATTAAACTCTTTCAGAAATTATGAATAAAAATAGAAATATTTATTCTTCTTGACAACAAACTGCAGTGAGAGTTGTTTTTCTTTAATTTCAGAACTTGGTTTATCATAAGTTTTTTTCCACCCAAATGCTCTGGGAGCTCATTAACAAAAACCATAGCTTTGTGAAGTCGATCATTGATAAAGTAAACTTTTTCTAAAAACTCACTCGCTTGTTGAAAGTTTGCCCTCTGCCCCGCAAAATCAACAGAACCGCCGATCAAAACCAATTTAGCGAAGTCAGCCTAATGTTCCTGCATTTTGCAAATTCCTCAAACTCTAAATCCACTCCAATCATCTGTCTCCTACCCTCTAATTCCAACTGTCAAATTGTACTTCCAGATGTCATTCCTGTATTTAAGCAAATATAGCTGTGATTTCAGTAAAGTAGTCAGTTTTAAAATTTTTTATTACTAATGAAGACAACCTATCAGAAATATCTTTTTTGACAGCATATCCTTAAACAATAAGTGCTCAAGTTGCCTCAACTTAACATTACGATCACAGGGATGCAGGAAATTATGTTGTAAATATCAGTTTAAATAAATCACATATTATTTTTATAGTTTAATATTTTTCAAAATTAATACAATACGGCTTTTTGCAATGAACTAAAACGAGATGGAGTAATTTTTTAAAAATATTTGTTGATAATGTGTTGGGCAGAATTCTGTTTTTTGTTGTTGCTAAATTAATTCCATGACATGCTCCATTCAACTCTGACTGGAAATGTGCTGGAGCTTGTGTGATAAACACAATGTAGACATTTTTTGTCTCTTCATAAAAAACTCCATTTTCTCACAAGGTGTTCATTTGAAACAAATATTTCAGGGAGTTCAGGTTTTTCTAAGATTTTAATATTATTGAAAACCATAAAAATCAGGCTATAGACATGAATTTTTGAATGTGAACAAAATTTACTTTGAATTTTAACACAGCTTTTGGAAAAGGCAAATGCATTTAATGTGTGTACAGACTTCAAAGTATAAAGAATTTCAATGATGGATGTTTACTCACAGTTTTTTGGTATGAACTGAAAGTTCCATATTCATTTTTCATATTCCTTCATTCATTTAAAGTTAATGAATTGCTGAAGGTACCAAATTGACCCATTAGTTTACAAAATAACTCTATTTTTACTTTTGAATGTTAAAGAAAGGTGATGATTTTTTGAAAAACTGTGAAAACCCGGAAAATGCAGGGAAATCAATGTGCAGGAAATATATAGGGTAATATTATATCAAGCAAAGAAAACATTGTATTTGAGACTATCTGAAAGGAAGAAAAGATTGAGTGTTAACGTGATAGGGCTTAAATGCACCAAGTTGTTCGAGTAACTGACATTCCTTCTAAAATGCCTTGTATAGTTATATGTGAAATATACAAAGCAGATATGACAAATTATCCTTAATGATAAAGAATTCACTTCGTGTTACAATGTAATAGTCAAAAAAACTATTAAGGTGGGTTCTGATAATTTAAAATAAATTTTTTATTGTGATAAATATTCTTGAGCTTTTCTCGAGTTCCAGATCGCTAAATTTATGGCAGAGAAAACTGTAAAACAGAAAACAGGCAACTAGTGGGTTCCCTGTTGAGAGAAAGCATAAGTATTTTAATATGATTTTCCTTGAAAGAAATGGAATTAATGTTGGATTTTGAAGGTTCCAACTGTTTTCTTTGTTTAAAAATGTTCTTTTGGGGAAGTTCAGTAATTAATTTTTTTTAAATTATACTCTTGATGATCATTGTATTAAAACATTAAATTATTTTCTTCTTTTCAGTCAAGGACTGAAGCCAGCTCTAATGTGTGGGATATGCTTTTGTGTGTGCAATGAATTTTGTAGAAAATGTTTTTTTATATTGATGTGCATCATTAGTTGTTTCCTGTTAATATATATTTAACTGCTGTAAATGCAAGTATTGTAGTAGTTAATTATATTTTAGTTTTCATCTGACAATCCTGTGTAAATGAGCTTGTTCATGCTGGAGCTTTTTATATTTTGGTGTTTTAATGTGTGTATTGCATTTAATTAAATCAGATTTGATGATCTGTTATCCTGAAAATAAGTTCAGATATGAATTGTATTATTACATATTGTTATATTCTCATATTCAACAATAGCTGCATCATTCTGAGAAGAAGTATTTTTGATAACCAGTAGGCTCAATTGTACAGATGTTTTAATAATAAAGAGCTGGTTTGGTTTTTATTGAAGTGTTAGTTTCTTAAATCATGAACAGATTCATTATAAAGACGAGTTAACCAGCCTTAATAAAAATCATTACTAAAAGTACTTATAAGGATTGTTATAGTTTCTGTTTCAAGTTGTTTCAGCAAATTATTGAAGTGCCCCATATTGTAAGTGAAACAACTTGAATATTCAGAAATTATATCTAATCCACATTACCTTGTTAAGTATCAGTAATGTTCCACCACATGTCCTGTTTACTACCTCATTACTGAGATTGTTTTGTAAGGTGGTCTAGTTAGATTAGGTGCGTGTTGACTTTTCACAAGCTAATTATTATTTGATGGAAACGTGTTTTATGTCAAATTTCATATTTAGATGTCAGTATGTATTTCATAATTATGTTGGATGAGAGTAATTTTAAGATTTCAACTAACCTGGTGCTGAAAACCCATGGGCATTATTAAATGTTAAGTAAACCGATGAAGTTTGTGATAACTATTGATTCCTACATAAGTTGAATGCAGTGCTTTTCAGACTGTCTGTGCTGTGATTATCTCCACAAGTTAGGAATTAAATAATGTCATATTTACACTTTCAGAACACATGGTAGGTAGCAAGGGTATGCTACTGTTAGAAATGACTGTGTGTGTTCTGTAAATTTTAGTGACCTTCTTGTTGCTCAAACTGTAATGGTCTTAAGTGTTGTGTTGGTGATATTTATAAGGAACATCTTTGTTTGTCTGTAGTTCTGCTATTGACTTAAGTATTAGAGCTCCAGTGTGGCAAGCAAATCACTGTATTACATTTAACCAAGTAGAAGATTGTGAAGGTTTTGTGGTAGCTGTGTCTGATATCTGAGAAAGAGTAACGTAATATTTTTAGTTGGTTCTAATTGTATGCTATGTTGAGTGTGTATTGATGTCGTGAATTGAATACACAGTATGTGTCTTCAGAAAGATTTGCTTTCAGCCAACTTCCAAAACATGTTCTGAACATGTAATGATTTCTACTGATCATTGAGATGTTCTGATGTATTTCAGGCTAGAAAGATTACTCACAGGCTTGAAGGATTTGCAAGGTACAAAATGATATACAAGCAATAGTGTTGTAAAAAATATAATTTGTATTTATTTACAAATAATTGTATAATTTGACGAGTTTACTTTTATACTTGCTAAGACAAGCAAATGATAGAAAATCACTGGTGTGTTTCACATCAGGATGAGTGAAGGGAAACTTCTAATTATTCTGAGAAACAAAGCTCGTAAGTATTCTGGATTATGTATTAGTCCTCAATAAACTGCACACACGAATACTGGAGAAAGGCTGAGCTTGTAAATCTTGATCTAATAAAAATAATTCACTGCAAAACTGCTTTTTAATGATCTCCAAGTTCTGCTCGAGATTTTCCCACTTGCTTGGGCATTTTTTTATTGGTCGAGTCCTCCAATTCACGTGGCTTGTAATAATGAGGTGCAACTTCTAACAGCCATTTGCTTTCTATTTCCGATACCTAAAATAAAAAAAATGCACTTGAGAAGTATTCATAATTTAAATTATCCTTGGGATACAAGTACTTCCTATTGTCAAATCTAAAACTATTTAATTTTGGAATGTTATCAAGTATATGTACAGTGTTCCACCATGCTAATTTGCCATCATCAGTTTGAAATATAAATAGTACAATCATTAACTGCTTTCATACATGGGTTGGTATTACTGCTGTGAAAATCAGTAATTCTGCCTGTAGTAATTTTTGAAGGACAAACAGAGTGGCCACTTTCTGAAAATCCAATGAGTGATTATGTGATGTCAAAGAATATCTAAAATCATGTTTGCATGGAGCCAGCGATAGGAGAAATCAAGATTAAACCCTGGATCAACCCAAATCAAGCAGCAAAAGAACTAATAGATGTGTGGTTGAGATACAGGTACACTAGTGCACAGGAGTGTTTTATGATTTACAGGGCTAATTCAAAAAGACTAACAAGTGAAATACGATTACTTAGATGAAAGTATACAGAACAACTTGATGGACTTGGCTCTAGATAGTCCTAAGCTACATCTGTCGAATATTAAGATTGTACTACCGTACTACTCAATTATTTCATTTTTTTATAAGTATTGTGATGCTGGTGTATAACAAATGCACTACTACAAAATATTTGTTCTTCAATCTGTGTTGGGAGACAGATGAAAAAAATTTGTTAATTACTACATACAGTCAACTTGGATATAGTGAATCCTCGGCTATAGTGAACTTAAAAGTCCCTGGTCCCATTTCACTTACATTAGAAATAGGCACAAGAAGATTCTATTATAGTGAATGTGGGAGATAAGCCTCGGGAATTAATCTCTTCTGGAAAATAATACTATATCACCTCATTGCCACAAATTCTAACATTAGGCAGCTTGTAAAAAATTACATGGTCCAAAGGTCTGTAATTGAAGAAATCTTCCCCGAGATGAAGGTAGCACATCCGGAATGGGGACCTTGCTGATGACCTGCCACTCAGGTTCACTGAGGAAACAAAGCCTGTGACGTATGCGGGCTACAACTGGCAGTGGCTGCTTGCTTGACATAACTTGATATTCCACACAACAAAGCGCATTGAGTTCTACGTAGGCGACAGGAAGCATGCAACTGCCACAGCCCCATAGCCTGGCAATACCTGCTATGCTGTGAGAAAAAGCGATCAGTTTCATTGGCCAATTGCACCATCCCACTACTGAAAGGCTTTCGAATGGACTTAGGAGGGTGGGGTTGTGTTCACGGTGCGGGAGGCATTGAAATGCGTCAAGACTGCATTACGATATTTGGAGACAGAGGACAATGTGTAATCAAGTATAGATAGAGCATGAACTCTGAAGAATGATTTAGAGAAATTACTAATGAACAAAGTACAAAATAAACAACCGAGTCTAGTGATAGAGGGAGCTAACCCACAAAATTAAAAAAAGTCAAATTTTTGTCATTCTATATCTTTTTTTCACATTTTATTTAGTCCGTTAACTTCATAAATATATCATAATCCATTCCGATAATAATATCTATGTTTAAAATAAGTGACATACCCATTTTCTACAATTTCTGTGAGAGAGGGAGCTAAGCCACATTCACGTGTCATTGATAATACAAACACTAGCACTAGAAAATCAGATCTATTTGCTACATCCCATATTCACTCCACCAAAAGAATTGTATTACTAACATTCTAAGTAAAGTTTTTTCAATATAAATATTTGAGTATTAGACATTGATGTTCAATATCAATTTGATGTATAAGTTTCACAGGCTTCCAGTATTCCTTGTTTTGCAAGGTTACAGATTTGTAACCCGATGATGAATGGAATCTACTCACTAGGAAACAAGGATCCCCATGACTGGCAGAGATGGTTAGGGCAAAGACTATTCCCACTGCAGGGCCTGTGTCGGGAAGGTTCGAGACTTGACTGACTTGGCTAGATAGCTTTGTTAATTTCAACCGCTGACTGGAGGAGAATTCTAGTGGCCTGCTAATCTGATCTGTAGTTTTCCGTTGTTTCACATGCACAGGCGTAACTACTTATATCAGGAGGCGAGACAGCAGTTTGGAACTACTCCTGGCTCGGACGGTGCTCCGCTGGCAGAGGTACCTGGAAGAGGAAACCCTGGAAGCCGACATGTAGTTTGGCGCTGGACTTCACGTTCAAGCAGGAGACACCACCCGGTATATAACTTATGGGAATAATTACAATAGTAGTTAGTACACCTGAACACAATCAATGAATCTGTATTAGACAGCTTTGGGAAATGCAACAAAAATGCTTCCATGATGCAACGAATTGAACAAGACAAGAAACTAGTATGAACAGGAACAGTGAAGAACAATGTTATACTGTGATTTTAACAACTCTGCCCCCGGCAGGTGTCAGCTGTTGACAGTTGCATCCAATCACTACAGTGAATTTCAAGCTCCCTATTGGAAGAAACCATCACTAGTTGACACCTGTCTGAGGCAGAGTTACATAAACCACAGTATAGTGACAGGACAGAGAAAACTGTATTCCAAGAACAAACAACGCCCTGTGTTGGAATGAGCATAACGTCTTGATACGCCTAAGCTCGATTGCTAACTCCACAAGCTAATAGATGATGAAAACCATGAAATATTTTAAAAAAATTTCCAAGTCAAGAATTGTCATATCAGTTTCATATCTCAGTGGTATCACTACAAGAAAATAATACAGTGAAATTTAAAGAATGTTGAAATAATCACAAAAATCAATCAATAGATTGATGAAAAAAATCTTTCATTTAGGGCTGTGTATCATCTGTAAAATACTTCTGGAATTGCTAAATCATATTTTCCCAAAGAAACAAGTTATCTTGAATATAACAAAGAAAAACCATTCCCTTGAGAAAATAAACCAAATGTAAAGCTCAATTTATCTCAGTTCCATACCCTCTTACTGGATGCCTCAACTGAAAAGAATTGATTTTTCTTAGGACAAATAAAGATATTGAAATTGTTCAGTTCGTGCTGTTAATGAATTTTGCAGAATCTTTTATTAATAAAATCAAACATGGTGGAAAAATTCAATTTATGTTTGACATCATCGGATATAGTGAACCAAACGTGTTAGCCCCCAGAAGTTCATTGTAACCAGAGGACTATGGTTCTACGTTGCTAGAGCTGTGCTATTCAATTGTCCCAGATGGTAGGAAGTGATTTTTCTATTATTTACAGCATAATTGAGAATTGCTAGCAATACCAAGGAACATTTTTTCTTAACATTTTTACTCTCGCATACTGCTTACGCAGTATACAGTATCTTAATGCTGCATATATAGGAAATTACTTCCTTTAACACGTGTAGTCTGAATTCATGAATGGCCATGATATCCAGCATCTTTGAAACCAAAAATTGATTGATGGCAAAACAATCTGTCTGAAATCAATGCTAGCGCCTAAACCGATCAGACTATTTTCTTCAAAATTGATATTATCCAATCTATATGAAAGTACTCGAGTACAATCGATATTTTGATATTAAGGATATTTGAAGGCTTCAATTACATTTTCAACATTTTCACAAAAATGGCTCCCTCGATACTTAACGATTTTTGATACTTAACGAACTTTGTTGATTTTTTTTTTAAATACGAGAAAATATGAGTTTTCACATAACTCGGCTTGAAAAATAAGCAATTTTTAACAATTATTGACTCAAAAACACTCAAAATCTTTTCAACATATTTTCCCCTCTCATGTATCAAATGAAGACAAAATTATTAGTGCTGGTCTCAATTCCAGCAAACACATATTCGAAAAAAGCAAAAGACAAACACTGCAAAAGTGCAATATTCAAGATAGATATTGTCTTAAATGAAATTAGTTCAAAAAAATTAATCTTTAAGATAAAAGGTCATTTATAATTTTTTCAAACAGAAAAGAAGGTAGGGTGGGAGGGGGTGGAGGGAAAGTAGTTTTCACGTAATTACTGTATGACGTTATGCAATATATACAAAAAGTAATTTTCTCAAACATGGATCCGAAATGTTATTGTTGTATGTAGCAAAGGTCAGGTGGAACAAGACAAGGAGAGTGTTACTGGTCGTTTCCAGCAAACTCTCTGTATTTTCAAAAATCGCAAAAAAATTAACATTGAAGATTACTTAAGAGTTTACATAATGAAAGGTGTTCTTCAAAATCAATCTTTACATAAAGTTGTGTAAATTTTTTTAAAATGTGAGTTTCACATAAGTTTTGCAAATGCAAAATTTTAAATTTCCTGCATTTTTTACCTAGAATCTTTCAGGAGTTATCAGATTGTAATACAACAGTGGGAACGCCGTGACACGGCAGAATAACGTTTCATTGTTAAACAGTGTTTCTTTGAGAATGGAATGGAGGTTTGTATTGTTGAATTTGTGTTGATATATTAGCTTTCACACTGAATGAGCTATGATTGGTAATGAGTTTTTACAGGTGATGGCTGAGAAGAGCTAGTATAGACAGAAATTGTGATATTATAATTTTATGTAACCATTTCTGATGAAAATGTACATGCTGTTGTAGCACTCCTTCAGTAGGCAAAGTATGCTTATGATATTAGTATGATTTTTATTAAAATCTGAAAAACTTTAAAAATTGCTCCTTCTAATCTCCCATACTTCTTTTGGGGAAGAGATAGTGAGACGACTTTGTGAGATTGCTGAAGAATTAGGAAACGATTTGCAATCGTGCAATATTATGTATCCGCTACAGATAAAATGAGAAACTATGTATTCTAGAACACTTGCTTTGTTTCAAGCCAAATTAGGTTTCAGCAAACTTAGAATCTATAAGCAATGTGAATTTTACACATATCTCACCGTTCTCATAAATTCCTTAGTGGTAAATACCAACTCATGATAAAGAACCCATCGAGGAAGGTCTTCAAACATACTACTGTTAGGGTGAATTGTCACAGTCTGTTGGTGTTTCACAGTCTTGTAATGGCCTCCTTTTGAGAGGCGAGCCACATGGTAGAAATATCCAGCTGTTATTGCCTGTGGAAAAAGAACGATATTTTATACCTGTTGGAATTTAAGATGCTCATCATTAAGGCTTGGAAGTTAATGCTGTATCAAAAGGATAAATATGCTCTAACAGTCAACAATTTTATGTATTCATGAGCATTTACAAAACTTTTAATTTCAACAATTAATTCTGCATTTTTGTCTCCACTTTGTATTTCAGTGATAATTTTTGAAGTAAAATATAATTATTTCGTCTGTACCAACATCTATTCCAATGCCACAAATTCTTTATCAAAGATAATTTATCACATTATTCATAATCGGACAAATTACTTAATCATTTCCAGGTGCGAGCACCGTGATACCTAAAAGAAGTTCAGACAAATACTGCTGCAACAAACGAAAGACATTCCCATGATTTCACATGAATAGCATTTGCATTTACATTATACACATTATACATGAAGTACACTTTTTGATTTGAGGAGACAAATATGCATATTAATTGAAATTCCAAGAGAAATATGTCACATTAAGAACAAAAAAGCAATAAATTATGAATGATAACTTAAATATAACGAAATATGATACATTAATACAAAATGCACTAAATATGCATTAATATGCTATATAAAATGACCAGATTTCTATTAATTTGATTGTGTTTTGAGGTCATTGATAATTAGCATATAATAAAGTTCATAATAAAAAATATGATTTTTCATTAACTTCCAGGCCTTACTCATCATAGAATAAATCAAGGTCGTACTGTACCTTTCTGATATTTGCTGTTTCTGTTGGGTTTGACACAAGTTCAATTTCAACTCTTTCCATTAAACCTGCAAGCTGCTCCCGTACATCACGAGCTCGTTTCATGGACCGATGCTGTATAAAATTTTCATAACACCACTGTGTGGAGAAATCTGTTTCTGCCCACTGATTGTATACATTCATTAATGTGAGATGATCCCCACCCACAGCAAAGAAATTTTTTCGTGCAGTGTCTGCATGAATAATTTTATCCTTTGGTCTGTAGAATATGGCTCCATTCACTGACAACATTGCAGAAATTGTCAATATTTCTTCTGAACATTTGTATCTAATCAGAGATAAGAAATTAACATCATGTAAGCAAGCTATCAGAAAAACAGTTTCATGATTTCTGAAAGGGGAAGAAGGAAAACCTACTAAGATTCCTAAATAAAATAAAATACTCACTTTTCAGAAGCCAGGAGCATTTTCCCCATCATTGGATCAACAGGAAACTCTGCCATTCGGCGGCCCAACTTTGTGAGTTCACCGTGGTGATTCAGTGCTCCCAATGCATACAGTTGCTCTAAAGCCAGGACCTGAAATAAAAAAATTTATATCAAGAAACTAATATTTTACACAAATTGAAGAAAAATATGATGGCTTCACCTGAAGAACGTGTTTTGCACGATTTTCCCATTTCGTTGTAGCTTGTATTTAATGAGAAAATCACTTAGAGACACAAAGACATTAAGTGCTGCTCAGAAGGACATTTATGCACTGCAGTTTCTGGACTTAAGTCGCAAGAGACTCAAAAAACTTTGTCATTATTCACATCCAGAGAAAATTGGTGGTGAGGAGTGGCATTTTTGCGTAGACAGTCATCACAGAATTTGTTGAATATCCAGGCCCCTCTTTCTGAAGTTACTGGAGTATGCCTTATTCAAACATTTTTCATGCGATATTCTGAATTTAAAACACAAACATTGCTCATTTTTTCTGCTATTACTTATCCACTTCTTTAAAAAAAAAAAAACTTCTGAACTCCTTTAAACCTATATTGAAATTGCAAATAGAATTCTTTGTATTTTTTATTCCTATGATCACAGACATAAATGGGAAGCTTAAGTTCGAAGTAAAAAAATGATACACCGATCATTATATGAAATATTTTGATTTTTCACGGGCACTTACATTGAATTACATTCAATATTAGCTGATTTTGTAAAGGCACTTACATTACAAAATCCAAACATTTATACTGGCCTCCTTTGCTGACCTTTCATTTTTCAAAGAGCTTTGCCACTTACTTCCACTTGTTAACTCATAACAAGACACCTTAGAGTGCCTGAATATCCTTTGTTCCTTTTCATTTATTTATTTATCAGATTATCACCCAATATAAAATAATTACACATACCTACAAAAATTAACACCTTGTTACATCATTTTATATCACAACCTTCATTAATGTCATCATAAACATGCAAAAAAATATATAAAATTATATGAAGTCTATCAGTATTACTCTTTTAGCTATTTTTCCAAAGGCTTTCTTGATAGAGCAAAATCAATATCAAGATAATTCGCTATTCTACATATTCTATTTAGTAAAGCAATAAAAAAACAAAATAATTCTTGTGAATTACAGTCCGTATAGTGCTTCATTAATATTGCTGAGACATCTGGGAGAAATCTTCCAACAAACTTTTGAAAGTAAAATATGACTATCAACATTATTATTTAGAATATTATAAAAGAACAAGAAATCATTAAAATCATGATAGGAAATAATATTTAGCAAATCAGCTACCTACCTATTTATAATCGTGGAATAACTTCAGCAATGAACTTGAATGCAACAAAATTTAAGAATTATTTTAGATGGACTCAACTTTTATACATTTTACACAACATTTATACGTTTATATACATTTTAATATATAGGTTTATATACATAAGTCTAATCAAAAATTGATATAACATTTTTAAAGTTGCAATATTTATAACTCCATGGACATCATCGTAAAACCAAGCATGCGATATGCTTCATCTGCTATATAGGATATGACTATCAGATTCGAATTTTGAGACAAAGATGACTCCCAGATCTTTAAAAGTAGAAATTGAATTGAATAAATGTCCGTTCGAGACATAATCACAAATCACAATATTACACCCTCACGAGTCTGGTGACTTTACATTTATTATAATTTAAACTTATGTCTATTATTTTTGCCCCCATTAAACCAGAGAATCCAAGTTCAGCTAAAGTGTAGCACAATCATTATGATTTTAAGAAAAATTTAACTTTCATTTATAATTTCAACTCATTATTAAAGAGCAAAACAACCCATGCCCTTTTCCCCAATTTGAATACTGAAGTAACCATACTGATGGAAATAAGCTTTCGTGATCGGATTTATTAAAAAATAAATAGTAAAACTGGAACTCCGAATTTACAAAAAACCCATCTGACTGGTCCAGCCTTTCAGTAACTTCACTTATTGAATGTAATAACAAAGAAAGCAGGTTATAAAAATAACTATTAAGAGCTTCTCTTAGAATATATGTAGCACATTTTTTTATAGCCAAACTATATCTTTTTAAAGTTTTTCCATAATACAATTAATAAAAACCTGATAACGTAAATAAATCAGTAAAGGTGCCCAAGAATCAGAACGCATTCAAAACACTGCACTGTTTCAATCATGAGCCCATTCACTTTAAGTACATACTGAAAATTCGAAAGGCACATTTCACCAGGCAAGGCTAGAAACTGCCGAATAGCTGAGATTCTCCAAATGTAGGGCTGACTAGGATTGCTTGTCACTGCGCAAAAGTATACATACCACTCCGATCAGCTGAGCCACTGTGAGGGTGGCAAGCTCTAAATTTTATGTGCTAGTATTAGCGTAGAGATTCCTTTGCAATCTTGCTATGTAATGATTACTTTTCAGCTATTTTGTACCTAATATTGTTTAAATATGCATATGTTTATACACGTAAGTACTAATTATTCAATTCTTGCCTAAAATGTTTAAAACGCAATGTTATTTTTTTTGGCTCGGTCATCATGCTGAACAAAATTAATTTTTTCTCAAGAGATATTTAGCAAAATACTCACTGATTTAACTCCTTATAAACACAAGGTTCTGAAAGTTATTAAACAAACCTCACTGACAAACGCTCAGAAAAATGACACTCGAAACATTTGTTTATTTCATTTTGAAGTACAGTCTGGTGTGTCATTTTAAATGCTCAAAATGACCCGCACTGTACAATTAAGATATGATTAAATTACCAATGTTTCATGGGGAGGTGGATCCAGAAAATCAAAGTGCACAAGGTCATTTATTCCTAGGGCCTTCAAAGTAAGAACTGCATTGCCAAGGTTAATTCGCTGAATTTCAGGAATTGTATTTTCTTCCAATTCATGTTGATAAGCCCATGCAGTGTACAACCGAAAACATTTTCCTGCTGCTACACGACCTGCTCTTCCAGCTCTCTGATTGGCAGAAGCCTGTAATTGTAATGGTCATAAATATAATAAAAATATAAATAATAATGAAAATTTTGGCAATATACCAGAAAAAGGCTTGTTTTAACCTTTGATATAGGAACTACAATTAGAGACTCCATCCCAGTTCTTGAATTAAAATTATTTTGTTTACAAAATCCAGGGTCAATAACATATATAATATTATCAATTGTTAGAGATGTTTCAGCAATATTAGTTGCCAACACAACCTGAAACATTCAATTAACAAATTGCAGGTCTCACAACAAATATACAAGCTACAAAACAATAAATATCAAGTCTCACCTTACGAGCACCAGGAGGAGTTGGGAGAAAAATTTTAGCTTGCATGTCGCTCGGCAAATTTGAATACACAGGCAGAATGATCAATTCCTTTATTTTAGAACCTAGTCTGCGAACTCTTTCCTGCAATAATTCTTGGCATGTTTCAATTTCTTCTTGCCCAGTAAGAAATACCAATATATCACCTAAAGATTGAGTTGCGTGGATTTGGAGAATGGAGACAACACATGCATCTATGTAATCTGCTTCAGGAGCTTTTGTGTAATAAATGTCCACAGGAAAACAACGACCTGAAACAACACAAGGCAAGAGAAACTGTTCAATGTCATTTTATCACTCAAGTGTCATTGAGTAGCAGAAACTATAGTGATAATAATGAACATAATGAAAAGTATTATAATTTTATTGTAACTTCACTAGAAGTTCTGGAATGCATATAAAATTTTACACAAACTAATGTAACAAATAAATAATAAAATGAGATGCAGCAATTATGTTTTGACTAATGTAGAATGTTTTTATTACTTTCTTTGCTATGGTCCCTTGTTTCATTATGAAATTGGGAAAGATTTCTGTTGGGGTTGATGGAAAGCCATAATATACTCAATGTCAGTAATTTTAGAGGTAGTACATTTTGATGACACTTTTGTCATCATCAAGTAAATTACAATAATTATAATAAACTAATTAGATGGATTTCTACTATTCTATTTATCTCTGCTGAATTCACTATTTACATTATATAAAACACATTTTTTAATACTTTAAACCAGTGTGGCCATTATTATCAAATCATGGATATAAAATATGAAATTAAACTGTTGATATTCAAATAAATATTAGTAAAACACAATAAAAATAGTATTATGCGTAATAAGTGCAAAGTACCAAATGTACTACCTGGAAAGATACTGACACACTTTATTGAGTTAAACAGTCAAAAGTCTTCCATCAACCCAAATAGAGTTCATTCTCCAACCTGATCGTAACAAAACAGGGACCGCAAAAAAAAAAGACCAATAACAAACATTTTTAAGCATATTACAGTCAACTGTATTAATATGCATCATATTTCTGAGGGTCATATGTATAAATGGTTTTATATACGATTCCCTTAGTATCTATGATATGATTTCAAATATAAATTTTACAGCAACGAGAAAAAGTAAATATATATTCTACACATTAATATAGTGAGTTCATAATTTACGAACAAACCTCTGATCCGGAAAATTGGTGCTTCATCAAAGAAATCCGAAAATTTCTGCGCATCTAATGTAGCACTAGAAATAAGAAGTTTCAAATCGGGTCGAAAACGGGCAATATCTTTGACTAATCCAAAGAGAATATCTGTATGTAGAGTTCTTTCGTGAGCCTCGTCGATGATCATAACACTGGACAAAATCAAAGAAAACAGACAAAATGTTCTTTTTATTCAACATTATTTACAAATTATCCCAATAACATTTTATCACATGTGGATATATGAATGAGTGTGTTTGTGAAGGTAACACAACAAAAAGAAAAAAATGCACCAAGGGTGTATCAAAAGAAACGTCTAATATTCAAACAGATACATCGCATCGCAGATACATCCCACAACACTATACTAATCTGTATTCAAAGGCAATTCACAAAAGACTATGGTGATTTTTTTTGCAGAAATTTATTAATTAAAAAAGTGAAAGTACAAAATAAAGGAAAGAGTTTAAGCTTGGACGATTCATCTTCAAGGTAATTTCAACATTATTTTGACCATTATCAATTACGTAGGGCTGGCACCCCTCTATAGTTCAAATTCAATTATGATAATCAAGACTAGCTTGCAGTCTATATACCACTACTTTACTACTATATCTATTCAATAAATAGCATTTTTAAAGGAACTGTATTTTCCTCATAGTACTCTTGCAGAAAATGAGACATTTGGAAGTTGGAATAACAGCATCCAGTGCATGGTTGCCAAAATTATAATTGTTTGGGAAGCACTGACTAAGGTTTTAAAAGCAGCTTTTATCAAAAGAATCTATAAACCAAATACTTCATTTAAATATACCAACTTCATTGGAAAACTGATACATGTTTTGCCAAATTCTGTAAAACCTTGGACGAAATGTGAATAATTTCCATGAATTTTCATGCCAAATAATGTGAAATAAATATTACTTTTCAACTTAAATTTTGATAAACAAAGTTCAGATTGATGAGACTTAAGAGAAACACTTCTTTAAAGAACATTTTTATCAAAGAAGGAATAAATTATAGCCCAATGGAATGACAGTACAGTAAAATATTACAGTAAAATCTGCCTAAGCCGGAATCAATTGGGGCATAAAAACATGAAATAATTATATGCATCGTCATTGCCAACAATATTATTTATTACAAAAGCAGTTTTCGATGGCTTAGTCATCATTATCAGTTTTCTGCTGAATGGAAGCCACGAAAACAACTACAGCTTCCATACAGCGGAAAACTGATGATGATAACTAAGCCATCGAAAGCTGCTTTTTTAATAAATAATATTGTTGGCAATGACGATGCATATGATTATTTCATTAGAAATGCCAACAATAACTCACCACCACACCCATAGCATAAAAACATTCCGGTTTAGGAAGGTTTCCATTTTACGACACATGTGATATTGACATTTCTGAAAGTAGTAAATTACATGATTGTTATAATTATCAAACTACATTAACATATAATGTATTTATGGAAGAAATCACCAATAAATGAAGACCTTAAGGAAATAACATGCTATGTCACATTTCAGATGAAATTGAGATATTAGTGTTTTTCAATTCCCCACAGATGTATCTAGATGTTGGGTGTTTATTTTAAAGATTCACTGCAAGATGGCAGTGTAATTCAAAAAATTGATGTTTTTCATCTCAATGTTTAGAACTGAATGTCTAAACCTTTACTCCAAGATTTCTCAAAACTTACATATTGTGGTAGTGGTATGTGGATAGAGAATTTATAACAAGATGTATTCATTTCAATAAGAATCTCGCTTCTCTCTGCCAATTGCACTAAATTTATAAGAATTACATTTTATAAAGATTTTCATCCCTATAGAGCATGAACAACCATTCTGTTTCTGCATTCTATTTTATGCCGTTTACATAAAATGCCATTTAATTTCATGGGCCAGAGAAATTTTCCGGTTAAGGCAGCTTTCAGGCTAGTTCCATTTTAAACAGATTTTACTGCAAAATCTATATGCCCTCAAATTCTGAGAACTCAATTTATAAAATTTACGAAGGTTGTCTTTTATTGAGCGATTTACAACTATCAATCTTTACTTAAGATACAACAGCAATAACTCAAATACAGTCAACATGAATTTGCATTTGTACTTACTACACACCTGTACATATCCACAAAAATAAGCTTATTACGTACCTGTAAGATTGAAGATCTGGTTCAGAAAGAAACTCTCTATGTAAAGTGCCATCAGTCATGTATTTGATAATTGTCCGCTCAGATGTACAATCTTCAAACCTAATACTGTATCCTACCTACACAAGAAAAACAAGTCAAATATCTACTTATCTTTATGCTAGAGAAATACCTAAAAATAGTAATCATATAAGATATTTCTGAATAGTAATGTCAACATTTTGAAATTATGGTCTTTAAAAGAAGAAAATGCCTGTTTTCAGAATTAATTTTGTTAGATGAAAGTGAAAATTATAAGAAGTAATTATAGAAGTGTTCAATGAATTTATTTTACATTGCATAAGTACTGCATATATATTAACTATCAAAATTCATATAAATATTTATTTCCAACCTAATGGTATGAAACCACAAGAATATAGCACAGTGTTAAAAAAACAAAAAACTTCTGAATCATGAAACACTTGTTCTCTGAAAAGAATCCTCAATGCTTCCACAACTACTTACCTCATTGCCCAGCTTAACACTCATTTCTTCTGCAACACGTGCAGCAACACTCATGGCAGCCACTCTGCGAGGCTGAGTGCAACCAATTTTCTTCTTGTCTTTAGTAAATCCAGCATCGTACAAGTATTGTGGAATTTGAGTAGTTTTACCAGATCCAGTTTCACCATCGATAATTAAAACCTTTGCAAATTAATAACATTTTATTCAATTAATATGTCTTAAATCAATTCAAAGAAAAAATTAAAGTTTCAGACCTGATGGTCCCTCACAGCTTGTATAAGGTCTTCTTTGAACGGGAAAATGGGAAGACTCCGTCGGGTCTCTTCAAGTGTCAACCGCTTTTTCTGAGTTTCTGACAATTTTTCTTCATCCTGCCGAACAAAATGTTGTTATAGATATTACTGTGATTAGAACATTAAACAAAGGCAACAGCCAAGGTTTTTAACCAATCAACCCTTTTCTTTGTGATATCAGCTGTGTGTTGTTTAAATTGTTTTGAAATACTACCTACTTAAAAATCACATAAATAAATAATTTTTCTTGGAATTGTTCATATAGCCATCTTTAGTTACAATTAGTCTCATATCTTTCTAAAGGTTAAAAAACAAACCAAATCAACAAAGTCAAGGCACTAACGTCTTTTTCATCCTTTGTTCCAGGAAGGGTTAGAGCTTGAATAAACTCTATTTGATCGTCTAAAACCAAGTCATAGTCTTTTCCCTCATCTTTTATTCGTTTCTCTTTGGCATCTCTTGCCCCAAATCTAAATACAGCAGACGACATTTGTTCTTCCTCCCATTTTCGTTGTTCATAGTGAGGAGCCTTTTCACGTTCATCAACCTCTTCATACTTCTCTTCGGTTTTTCCCTATAACATACCAAATAAATACTAAAAATATTGCAGAACGTACTATTGCTACATGTCAAAGAAGCAGATATTGTTACCTTGCGTGCATCATGAGGCATATGATATCTTTGAACTTTTTCCAATTCTCTAGCCTTTTCATGTTCCTTTGCTAATTGAAGTAACTTTTTTTTATGTTCTCGATCCTTTCTCTCACGTTCAGTTAATCTGCAAGTTTGCAACTATTATGAACATTAAAGGAAACAGTTTTCAAATATTTTATGAACTGTATAATTCTAGGAACAGCAACTGTATGTGTACTAATTGAAGATATGGTACATATGGTATCAGGGTATGAAGGCTGACTTTAGAAACAAAAGTGTAAAAACTGACAACATACACAAATTTAATTTATAGCACTAATATGTGGACAGATTACACTTCCCACAGTACATTACTCACACTTTTTAAGTTTTTCATGTTACATGAATAAATAAATATCCTAATTTTATTATTAACATCAAAATTAATTCATAATCAGTACAAATATTCTAATTATCTCCAAATCTGTTCCCATGAACAGACATTTGATTTCTTGTTCCCAACCTGAGAAATGTCTCTCTCACAAGAATATTCTATTCTTAAATGACTTTCCTGGCAAAACATGTATTGGAAATGTAATTACATCTTCAGTAAATAAAAGAAAATACTGACTCATCTTCTTGAAAAAGGAATTCATCATCAATAATATCTGCTTCCAATTCTGCTACTTTGTCATCTTTTCTTTTCTCTAAATATTTCCTTCTGGATTCAATTCTCAGCTTTGGTATTATTTTGTTGCGATCATCTGATTCAAGTTTGAGTCTCTTTGCAGCTTCTTCATAAGCTTTCTTATCTGCTTTAGAATAAAAAGTAACGAAACACAAACTTTGAAAAGGACACAACTATTTTCATTATTCAAATTAAAAATGTGAATGACTTACCAAACCCAGTAACTATATTTCTAGTTTTTTCCTTATCTTTCAATTTCAACCTTTCAGCAAATTCATCCCTTTCTCGCAAATCTTGGAGGCGTTGCTTTTCAACACCACTTTGCTCATCAGAAGAATCAGAATCAGAATAACGTTTATGACGCTTGCTGTAAGAAGTTTTAGAAGTTCCAGGTCTGCTTTCGTATTTCTTGTCATCTTTATGTCTTTTGTGTTTAGAACTTTCTTCGTGTCGAGATTCCCTATGCTTTCCCATGGTTAGTTTTCGATAAATTCACGACTGCGAACAGTTTATATTGTTCTATATTCACACATAACCTCACCACACTCCCAAAAATTACGATTAACTACACTATTCACAAAGCACACACATAATATGTTAAAATAATGACAGAAGTAATATCAGAGTATTTCACCGTTTAGGAACGTTTTCTAAATACAACCTTTTAACCTAGACAACAAACTTCATCAATGTCGTTCGGGTGTCGTTGCATTGCGACTTTTTCAACTCCCTGACAGGTATCTGCTGTTTCCAGTTTCATCTAATCGAGAGCGTGAACGTCACTAAAGTGACGTCACTATGATGACGTAGAACCTCTCGATTGGATGGATCTGTCAACAGCGGATACTTGTCAGGCGCAGAGTTGAAAAAATCGCAGTATACTCTCGTTTACTCCATGAACTATATTGCCATGTACTCTGACTATACTGCGATTTATGCAACTCTGACCCTAGCAGGTTCACCTGTTAACTGTTTCATCCAATCGGGTGCTTGAACGTCACAATGGTGATATTGAAACTGCCGATTGGATGAAACTGTCAACAGATGATACCTGCCAGGGACAGAGTTGCGAATATCACAATCTAAAACGTATGGCAAATTGACTACGATCAGCTGGGCGGGGTTATCCAAACAGGAACACTTTAACAATTAATTTTGTAAATAAAAACTTCCGATTGGTCAACCATGTTCCATATTAATATCTGTTAGATGTACATATATTTTAATTGGAGACTATTTATTCTTTGACCTTAGGTTCGTTTCGGAACGTCCCGAGAAATGTCCAAAACACGTGACTTTGGAGGCGGGTCTCACGGACAGCTCATACGTGACTCCTTGTGCAGCCCTTGTGGGTTGTTATGAGTGGCAAGTGCAGCGAAGTTGCTTTTCACCTATGCAGATGTAGGCATGTTCTGTGTACTTCTACGAAAGGTTTAAATAAATCATATTCACAAATAGTTCGTTTGAAATATTTACTCAAACACAAATTTGTGTATTTCTGTCATAAAAGCTTACCTATCAAAAGCAATTTCTAATGACAAGTATACATGAAAATATAGCATTAAAGACTTCTGTGAATATGTTTTATTCGTAAAATATTTCAACTTTGAATGTTAATTTTGTTATAAACAAAATATACAGTTTTATTGTTAGGCTGGATTTTGATCATTTGGAAGAATTTCTTGTTACAGACTGATAAATTAATATTAATACCGAAATTTTTCAAACCTCCGCTTGATACCAAAGTCCTCCTCCCCCCATGCTTGAAGCATTATTTAAATTATCCAAGTGAGAAACTACAAACAGGTGGTGACAATTTTGAAGTGATACATTAAATTATACTCGAAGCATACCGTCTGCAGTGCAATTGGATTTTTGAAAGTTGTCTTAGGGCATTTAATGTAATATTACATAATAATTAAATTTAATGTAATTTTCATTATCATTTATAATATTTCCAAAGTTGCCCTATTTTATATAAAAAAATAACTCTGCTTTTATCTCCTATCAAGCTGAAGTCATTTTACTTGATTTATCTCAAAACTTGGATCTTGATCTATGTTAGTTTCACTTGTAAATTGTCTGAATAATGTGAATGCCTTTCCAGGCTATAATTAAAAGATGACAATGTTAATGGCTTACTGAAACCACACTTGGAATGCTGGTGCAAAGTGTTTGCAGCTACAGCAATAAGTACTTTTTAGCTTGGTAGATTATGATTCCTGGTTCTTTAATACAAGTTAATTTGAAGATCTGTAGTTATACTCACCGCACTGCGCAAACGCAATTGTTGCTATTAATATGAATTAATTTATTAAACCATTAACAGAAATTAAATGTATTTGTAGTGAATAAGCAATGAAATGAGAAATCCTTAGACACACTCTGTTGTAAAGCTTTTTAAAATTATGTAATTGAATATGTCATGAATATTGCTCTCCTTGAAAATTGTTTCCACATAGTTTTGTCTAGATTACTTTCATTACATGATAATCTACATGAATTACGTGAAAAAACGATTACAACAAAGTAACGATTGAAAATGATTATAACAAAGTAATATTTCATTTTTAGAATTATTGTTTTTGTTATCCTGAAAAGCAATTAGGTTTGTACTTCTTAAAAAGGAGAAATGCTCCCAATTGTATTTAGTCTAATATTGAAAAATCACAATTTACACACCTTTTGAAATGGTGAAAATACAATTTTTCTTCAACATATTTTAGTTACATTTTTTTCTTTGGTATTATCGAGAATAAATAGTCACCCCAGCTTATTTCCAGATCTGTGTGTCCAAGAAACTGTCATCTTTGATATTATGAATGTAGATTACAACAATACACATGGAGTCTGTTAATTATATTGCCACTTATAGCACCTGTTACAGACAAATATGTTTGTAAATTTGAAAGTAAAAATTAATGTTGTATGAAAAGTTTTATTCTTGGGATTTTTATCCGATTCAAAAATTCAAATGAATATTCTAAGAAAGGGAAGGGTTGTGACATGTGTGATTCAACTCCATTAATTCTTGATTTTGGGGAAAAAAAAAAAAAAAAGAGAAGAGGGAAAGTTATCACCATGCAACTAGGGTGAACTGGGTCATTTAATTTCTAGCTGTGGCAGGCAGAGGGCATTTTCCACCCCTTTTCTGAAAGTGCAGAGTTGCATCAGTTGTAGGTTGCATACACAATAGTCAGTGTAAACAATTTTTGAATTAGTCTGTTACTTGATTAAGATCCACAGCTCTTCAGAAAGCAAAAAAATTCGTTAATTTCCATTTTGTCAGTTTTTTAAAAAATATTAGAGACTTCTTTACTTACAAACGGAAACCTTTCTCAGTAAACACGAGGCATTTTCAGATTGCCAACATGAATTTAGAAAATCAAAATCTATGGAAACTACCATATTTTCTTTTTTTAAAGGTCTTGCTTCATCCATGGATGAAAATGAAGCATCTATTGGATTATTTTTAGATCTTTCAAAAGCCTTTGACTTCATTGATCATAACATTTAACTTACAAAATTACCATTGTATGGAATTCGTGGTATTGCTTTAGATTGGTTGTGTTTGTACCTTAAACAATGGTCTCAGAGAGTAGAAATACCATACTGGAATGTTGGAACGTTATAAACACGCCATTCTGATTTATTAGCAATTGCACATGGAGTCTCACAGGGATTTATTTTAGGCCCTTTTACATGTAAACGATATGCCCTCAACTATTCAAAATGGAAGAACAGTTTTCTTTGAGGATGATACAAATATTCTTTGCAATAGAGATACTGTAAATAGTACAATATTAGATTTTTAAATTGGTTCCATATTGGGTCAGTCTTGATCAGGTTTTTTGTTCAGTTTCGCTGATACTTTGAGGAAATGCTGAGATGGGCCCTTGATTTACTTCATGGCATAAATGTATCTTCACTATCTGTGCACGTCTTAGAAGACTAGAGTGTTATAGAAGACTTGAGAGATATAGTTATTCAAATTATCGTTCTCCATGTTGCTGCTGCAGAAAATTGATTTCTTCATGAAGGGCAAGATGAGGGATAAGAGCCCAAATCTATAGCTGATTTGCTTTTGCAAATAATTTTTATTAACTGGAGCGAACATTTTCTTATAAATTATTGCTGCACATTTTCTTTTGAATTCAGAATTCAACTTTTATATGACTTAGGGTATGGATCCCAGAATTAAGAAAACTTGCATTGAATACGCTTCTCCCATTGGCACATCAAACAGTTTTAAACTGTTTTGACATTCAATAAATAAATTAATTTAAAAAAAATGAAGATTATATGTTTAGGAGCATTGACTAAAAGTGTATTCTATTGATAGATAGAACATATTCATTAAAGTTATTTATTATCTTTACAAAAAGCAGAATTTAAAATATATGATGACTTAACCTTTGTCTCCCCCATTTCTAAAATAGCAATAAAAGTCCAATTATAAGTTGCAAATAAGCTGTATGTTATGGAAAACAATTGTAATGGACTTGCTACATTTATTGTTTCTGTACTTTTAGTGTTGAACTATATGTGCATGATTTCTTTTCATCTTTTCTCTGGCATCATCTCTGAGAAACATGTTGTTTATAAAAGTTTGTAATACTAAAGAAATAAACATTTCAATGTGTAATCTATACACTTCACATGATTGAAATTTTTAAAAAGAAATAACATCAGGTATGCATTTGTTGAAATGCTTTCTTCTTTTTCAGAAAATACTCACTCTTTGTACACTTGTCTGCCTTGTTTCATTTTGAATAAATAGTCAATTACTTCCATGTATCCCATGGATTGCTGTATCAAAATCAAATCAATGTAGTTTTGCTTTATATTTTTCAGTCACTGAACAAAGAACTTGCTAGCTCAGTCTTCACTTCTTCAGAGTTGCGAGTCATTATGCTGTTGGTATGTACCACCACTGCCTTTATGAAAACATTTTAAATTGTGTGTATGAAATTTTTGAATCATACAATTTTATTTCATATGCAACAATACATTTTTTTGTCAGAACAATAAGAGGAGAGTCCAAGGGTTAGTAACAAAACACACGAGAGTTCACCATCTCTTTATTATAAAATGAATTTTACATTAATACACTTATAACAGTAAATTCTATGCTTTATTCATTCATCTTATTTTGAAAGAAACATGGTAGGGAATTTTGAAGCTGATTGCAGAATTATTTGAAATCTATTTAAGAGGAGTCATGTGTGAATGGGACAGTTTATTTATATTTTTTCATTATGTGTTGTACCCAGTTCATGGATCATGTATTCTGAAAATGGTAGACAAAATTATTATCTGCCATGCAATCATCTATTTTGGAACTACGTATTTTTAATTTCAAAATTTAGAACAACTCCTAAAACATACTTCTAATGTATTATTTTCAGAGAATTTGAGTTTCAATAATTAACTGGATTTACACTTAACTATTATCAACCAATCACACATGTGTATTTTTCTGATCATGTACAACTGCTTGAAGTACAATTCTGTAAACTCAACTTGACATATTCTATTACATAATAAACAATTGTGTGGGCTATTTTGAATATTAATTTGATGCATTGTTATTTGCTCAGTTATGTCTAATTGCAGTAAACAAGACAGTTATTACTAGAACCCATGATTTTTGTCTTTGCTGTCGCTTTTCTTCACAGTCAGGTGCTCTAAGTAACGCTGCTGAGGCGCTGCACCCAGGCCATCTCTGCATCCTGGGTCTTTTTTAACCTGTGTATAGATATCTGGTGTAAATGTGATCATAGGAGAATTAACTACTATTCCACAGGTGTCTAATGTTTTCAATGCAGGGGATACACTGAGCAAGCAAACAGATCAGACATCAACATTCGTGTTGTGTAAATGTATATCATAAACAGTAGTGCTGAGAACAGTAACAAATAAATACTAAGAAAGATAAGAATTCTGTCATTATTTAGTTTACTGTACTTGTACAAAATTAATAGTGTTCCCTGAGATCACAGATTCATAATAGTAGTTTTTTTTTTCAGAATGTTCTGTACTACTTAGCATTTAGTGTCCTTAAACAAAGACTTCCAGGCACAATGTTGAAATTTGGTGCTGGAGGAATGATAGTTATTAATCTGAAATTTGTATACATGAATAGAGCAATCTATAATAAATTCTTAGGATAATGGGGGAAATATATAAATATCACTAGGCCATTTATAATTCATTTTCAAAAAACAAATGGTTCCGAAAAAACTTATAATTGTACCTCATTTGATTGACAAACAATACATCTTATATTGAAAACATATTCTCACTGAGATATATTGACATTTCCCATGAAAATTATTTTTTATACCTCTGTAATTATTTTTAGCAGTCCAAATGCCCCAGTATCAAAAGTTAAGTATTATTTTAACAATGTACAATTTACTGTGTTAATAAATAAGAGGTCTTTTGGAATGGCAAATATTGCAGAATATTGAAGTCACTTATATCTATACATCAACCGTATAGGTTTCAAATTTGTTTGAAGTTTGCAGTGCCATTTTCAGTGGTGTTGCTTAGTACTCAAAACATTGTATGAGCTTGAAATACATTCAAAAGACTAGATGGTTTGTACAGCTTTCTTAAATAGCTAAATACATATTTAATTAAACTCATGATGATTTTCATTACACGCTGATTGCCCTTTCTGTGGCATCATGTGGTTGACAAATTGCTCCGGCTTCTTCTTCAACATTTCTGGACAATCTCCTAGTAGGTATAAGTAAATTGTTAATACAGTTGAATATTGTTATTGATTTTTAATAGAAGCTTGTTCTATAAACATTTCTTAAATTACTTGAAAAAATATTTTTATTCTTATAAGTTCAAAAATTTGATTCTTAGTATTGGTTTTGTAAAATATATATGTGGGCAGAACTGCTCATGAATATTATTTTATTAAATATAAGCTTTATTCATCACCTCTGTTTCAAATTCTGATTAAATGGAGTGTCTTTTTAGGTGCAATGCATTATATTGAAATAAAAAGTAATTTAGGTGCAAGTGTAAGATAATAAAACACAGCACAACCATGCATAAAGTACTAACTAATGACATCAAATGCTGAATTCAAACTTTTACCTTTTTCTTAGGTAGTAGATAACAAACAATATCACGCCATTGCCAACCAATAGTACACATATAATGATGGTTGGAAGTAGAACATCTGTTAAAATAAAAGAAATAACAACAAACAACAGTTCTTTGAAATATTTATTAAAGGATGTGTGAATATGCACTTGTGTGTGTGTGTATGTGTGTGTGTGTGTGTGTGTGTGTATGTATGTGGGCGTGTGTGTGGCAGGTGTGAGCAGGAAGATAAATGAGTTAACATGCACTTAAATAGTAGCGGCTGGTGCTCAAAACCAGCTCTATGCTGACAGTAGCAGCATAGCTACCTTTTGCTGTGCTTGGGGTCAAATACATTATACTCTCCTTTCCAATCATACTATATTATAATTGCAAAAATATTTTGATAAAGTAATTTTAGTGGTTTAAAATTACACAATTAAATTAATTAAAAATCCATTTGAATAATAGTTGTTAGGGGCCATCCATAAACTATTTCATATCCTCAAGAGAGGGGAGACATTCATTTTGTAGTTATTGTGATGCAAGTGGGATATAAATGGAGAGTAATTGTGGAAATTTAAGATTAAACTAAATTTTTGTAAGACATTTCTTTTGACAAGAAATTTAATCTCAAAATTATACATTTTATAACTTCTCACCAATTTAATTATTTTTAACATTAAAACTTCGTACTTTAATATATACACACACACACAAATCCATCCATCACCTCGCACACCACATCCAACGGTCCTACAAGAAAACCACTACTTATTCCAAAAACCTCCTTTTACACCCTCCCAGGCGAAATAATCCCAACAATAAGACAAAACACAAGCAACAACTACAGTCATTACTATCAACACAGACGAGACGAAGATAAAACTGAACCAAAATGGACACAATGAAGACTACATTCTCTACTGCTGCCTGCTTACCCTAATCCTCAACACTCGTCACAAAATCTCGTATTTTCTCACCGCCTGGTAGACCGCCCGCGTCTCCATGATTCCCAAACCTGACAAGGACCACCAACTCCCGTCCAACTTCCGCCCCAACAGACTCCTCCCCATCCTCGGCAAAATCCTAGAAAAAATCTTCCTTCTCCGGCTCACCCCTCCTCGATTCTTTAATTGTCCCTAACCGATTTGGTTTCCGCGAGGGCCGCTCTGTGGCCCTACAGTCCCTCCACCTAGCAATAACAATCGCCAGCCCCTGTAAATTCCCAAAGAAACACCTACCATCCTCACCGACCTCACCCAAGGATTTTGACATAGTATTCCACGAAATACTTCTGTTGGAACTTCGCCCCTACGTCCCTAACCACTTATACTCCCTCATTAGAAGTTACATTACCAACTGATCCTTCTATATCCGTCACCTCACTAAAACTTCGTAAAAATGTCCCCTCCAAGCCGGCGTCCCTTAGAGCTCCCCTCTTCTCCTTCTACATTAATGACATCCCAACGACCCCCGGTGTCAAAACCTTCCTTTACGCTGATGACCTTGCCTTCTTGGACCCCGACCTCTCCCTCAGAAAATTCTTAACACAAATTCAAAAAGCTCTCAATTCCTTTTACCTTTGGACCAAAGAAATCAACATCACCATCAACCCTACCGAATCCCAAGCGATCCTTTTCTACTACCAAAAAAAAAAAAAAAAAAAAAAAAAAAAAAAAAAAAAAAAAAAAAAAAAAAAAACTCATCCCTCCACCCCTCAGAATCAACCAAATTCTCATGCCCTGGCAATCACAAGTTAAATTCATCGATGTTACCTTCTCCCAGAAGCTCCTTTGCTCATATCACATCCAACACCGTCACCAAAACCCACCGCATCATAAACGTCCTTTACCCGCTCCCATCCAACCAAACCATCCTTCCGATGAAAAGAGTCCTCATCCATTTTTCCTACCGATTCATCCTCCCCTTGCGAATCCCACCTGGACAGCCACATTACCTGCCAAACCTCAACTACCTGACCAAATCCGAGAAGAGAGTAATCCGCCTTATTTTCCGACTCCCGCCATACACCAGGTCATCCGCTCCTTACACAACATCCCTCACATCCTAACCTACACACATGACTCCGCCAAAACCATGACCCAAAATGTTTCCACCAACCCACATTCCAAAACTTATTTACCCCACATATTCACAACCTATCCTATCATCCCGGACCCTCCCGCAAAAAGCATCCCCTCGACATTCCCCATCTTCCTTCCCCAATCACCCCCATGCTCTTCGCGACTTCATCAGGCTGCCTCGTTCAGAACAGCGCATCGTTGACCAGACTGCTCCAGACGTGGGCGCGCGCGTTAAGAAAAATCTATGGCGAACTGCAATTGTTTTACACTTTACCAGCGTTTTGATAGATGAATTAAACAAACAATTCGATATTTTGTAATAATTGTTTTGAGTTCATCTAGTATGGTGTAGCACTTCCGGAACATTCGGTACTGCATAAGTAAACAATATCGAACATCAAATTAATATTAACTAATATTAATTATGTTATTAATTAATATCAAATTGATATTAAATTAATATTAAATTAATAATTACAATTAATTTACCTAAAATGTTCGACAGAAGTCTACTGGAAAATCATGCTTTACTTTATCGTATAAACTTCGTTGAAAGATAAAGTAATGTTACAGGAAAACGAGCCGATTTTTCGCCAGAAAATGCGTTTTGTGTCCCTGATTCAATCAAAGTGGATTTACCTTGCTTCTCTAAGTAGCACGTTACTTTTTTGAATTCGTGTACTCAGAATCAGCACTTCCATGGGCCCTTGCAAACCCGCAAAAGTTTGCACAATCTACCTGTGAGAAATACATTAGCGTACACATGGTTTTCACCGAATTCCTCTATCTGGTTGACGTAGCGGCCCCTCGAATTTGAAACGGATATTTCAGTTTTCGGGGATACTAAACATTAAGCCTCCATGACAGTTGTCAAAAATGGTTCCAATTTTTAATTTTTTCGAATTGAAGAAAGTAATACGCTTATTTAAAAAAATCCAAATTCCAATTTTCACTAAAATCTCTCAATTTAAAAAAAATGCGAAAGTTCATTTTTTCAGAACGTCGTACAACTACATTATTGAATAAAGATATTTCACGTCTTGCTGGAATTGATAGAATATGCGCCCATTGACTGAGATGTGTTGATATGGACAGAAATTGCGTTTTAATAATAATAATAATAATAATAATAATAATAATAATAATAATAATATTACGTAACCGTTACCAAGGGCGAGAAAGTAAGTGATGTTTTAGTTACAGTTGTCTTAATAACATTCTTTTTCAAAATCATACCTTTATTTACTATGTACAAATTTTTTGAAAATGTGAATAGTTTTTACGTAATTTTGAGTTAAATTGTGATTATTAAAAAAAATGAATGACCAGATTTTCTTATCAACTGCTACAAATTTTAGGCTTAAAATCTGCGCGAATAGAGCAAAGTTTGTACGGTCAATTGTTACTAAAATGTTAAAAATTTCGAAAATTGCAAAAGTTCTATTCTCTTTGTTGCGTCGGGAGCGTTCGTATAATGGTGGTGTCATGGGTGTTAGACTGTTTGCGGAGCCTATGAGTTTGATATCGTTTCCCAGACCAGGCTAAGCTTTTAGCGGATTCAACGGGTATTATGCTATTATAGTAACAGTTACAAATAATACTGGAAAATATGTACTGCTGTAGCACTACTAGTTTTCCATGAGTCTCCTCTCTTTTCCACCAGAAAAGGAAAATGAAACTGATTCTTTCTAATAGAGCTTGTCGAATTTTGCTTTCAATTTCCCCCAAGTTGTGTCAAATAACATTAATATATCCTGGCTTGACTTACCAAACATGAGATCTGAATGATTTAAGACTGATGCGTATACTGTGTTATTAACATCAGAGTTCAGTCTCATTGGTCCTATCACATTGTAGTTTCCATCCATTATGCCTGGATGTTCTGGAAATATAGAACAGGAAAATAATAAATTTTTTGACAGAAAAGGGAAATAAAAATGAGCTTGAGAAAAACTTATAGCTAGAAAAAAACAAGGCAGGTCAATTTTATGTGCAAAATATTTCCCTTGACATGTACAGCACATATTGTACATTATCAATGTCAATGTATATTATCAATGTATATTATCAATTAACTTATGGTTATTATACAGTTTTCAATTTATTTTTTAATGCCCAACTTCGCTACAACCAAAGTTCAAAGAAAGCCACTTTTATACTTACGGATACAATTTGGTAGAGTGTTATTCCAGGTATTATTGTTCACACACTGAAGAACTCTATATCTGTTCAGTGTGTCAGGGAATGCAAAATCCAGGCAACACATGTATTCACCATACGTGTCATTCCTGTATACAATGTAACCATCTTTTGGAGGTGTAGGGTGAACACAGTCCAGAGCTTCAACAGAAGTACGTTTGAATATGAACAATATTTATTATATTAGTTTACTTTATGTTAAACTTTAATGCTTGCCTTAAAAAACAAAGTAATTTCAAACCCACAGGATATATCCGAATAAGTTGGCGAAAAGTGCCCCCAAACCAAACCGATAATCGCGATGTTCCCTGGAAAGAGTATATAAAATACCATAGATTCCCAAAACATCAGCGTCCTAGGGCCATCTCTTGCAGAAATACAAGAAACATGTTTTTCATGTGTTTCTTTAGCTTCTATTGCATGTAACAGGCTGAAAAAAATTTCCGAGACGGGGAAAAATAATTGAATTTGAAGGTATTTTTGTCAACCAATTTTAACGCCAAAATTCAAATAGAAAAACTAATTTGAAATTGATTTTCGTCGCGATAACTTTGGAGTAGTCTCAGTTTTGCCCCTAAAATGTGTCTTATAACATTCTATAACGTACATTCCTTCCTCCCAGCTTTTTTAAACAATGTGGCCGATAGTGAAAACCAATTTTATCAGTTTAAAAATTTGAAATTCGTGCCAAAATCCTGAGATCACGATGGAGAGTATGCATTATCCATAGGTGGAGAAATATTAGTTAGGCAAGGATCAAGAAACATTAGCTTGTGGTTGGATGAAAAACTGCACAAGATGTTAAATAGGAATGTTAATAGGTTTTCCCCCTACGTCACATAGTTTTTACTGTTTTTTTGACTGAATAAATCTAAATCTAGGAGAACGAATGGAAGAGTCTTTTATCACCTTTGTAATGAAGGAGAACTCCTCTTTTGGGAAAGAGGGTCTTGCTGCCTATCAGGATAGTTACGTCCAAGCTGTCGCCTTCTGAAACTACCTCGATGACATCCTCTTGTTCACCACACATGCGTTCGCGTTCCCGGCCATCTTCTGTAATTATCAGGCGGTCGGTACAATTTCCTGATGAGCTGGATGCTTCTGAAATGATATTTTGATACGTTTTAGGGGGTCCGGAAAATTATATAGTTTGAAACGGCAAAATATTACATAAATTCGTATGTAAAGAAACTGATGAAAGAGATAAAAATATGTCATGAGAATACGCCCTTATTTGTATAACATTTACAAATAAAAAAATGTTCACACAATTTGAAATTATATTAAAGAACCTATTTTAAATATAAATATTGCTTGTCGTGCTGAATTTTTGAAAAGATTAACTACATTTTAATGTTTGAGTGCAGTCATAGCCATCGTACGTCGCAGGAACTGCGAAAACAATTGTAGTATACATTGTCTTCATAGTGTTTAAAAAATCAGATCTAAAAACGAGGTCGTGTACAATTTTGTTTCAGAAAAGAGTATTTTTCACGTATTTTATGCTTAAAAGTATTGTAATTTATTTTACAAATTTACAAAAAACCGTCTGTAATTATTTTCCCTCGGATAAAACAAGGTACGCTTAAAACAATGGCGCTGGTCTTACTTTCGTTGAACTCTTTAAATATTCGAAAATTGCGTGTTGGAAATAATGGTAGAGAATTAGATATTTAAGCGTCGGCCCAAGTGAAAACGTGGTGTAGCGGTAAAGTGCTCGGCGATTAACCTCATGGACCTGAGTGCGAGTTTGACCGTGGAAACAAACGCATTTTGATGCAGTAGTGTAATATTGTGGATCCGTGACCAAGAATGCGAGAAAGTGTGTGGTGTTGTAGCGCCACTAGTTTTCGCTTGGGCCGTGGCCGCCTGTGCGAGCAGAGCCACCGCGCGCCGAAGGTGAGCGGGGGGGGGGGGGGCGCCAGCGCGTTAAGCAATACCTGCGTACCGGCGGGCTGCTTTCAATCGATTGGAGAAGGACGTAATGTGCTGTTGTGCAAACGCAGATATGACTTTCGAATGCTTGTAACTATTGATAACAGTCGTTTGTCGACGTGGGGGGTTGGTTCATCTCATCACCGAAATAGATCGTAGGTAGTTTTTGCATTTGATTTCTCCTCCATAAGAACATGGCTGTGTATGGTGTCCATGGATCGTGCTGTTGGTGTTCATTTCATCATTGAACCAAGGTAGTTATTGCATTGTTATTTACCTTGCCACTATAGATATTCGTGCAAACAAAGCATCAGAACCAACAAACCCGTTGCCTACAAAAAATTGAGAGTATTGACAATTCTTAACTCATGAAAGTGATAAAATTATATTTTGGATAAGCGATAAACTAGAAATAACAAAAAAAAAAAAATATGACCGGATGATGAACTACTCGGCTTTGCTATCGCTTAGCATTGCAGTTAATCTTCCGGCTTCGTTCTTAAAGACTCATTTAGAGGAGTCGTGACATAAATAACTATTTATTGAAATTGTTTATAATATGAACTTGTGAATTTTTTAATGTTCACTTTCCAGGCAATCACCTGAAATTTGAAACTTTGCAGAACTTCCTGAAATACAAATAAACAAGGAAATTGTGGCCTTGATTACATTTTGTTAAATATTAATTAATTAATATGTGTCACATTGGATGCAGAAAATTGAATTTAGAAGATCGTTAAGAAGAATCTAAGCAGTTTTTAAAAAAACAACCTTTTACACAAAATATTTTCTTTGAATTCTGCAACTAAATGCGAAATTTGAAAATTATACGTCAAATGAGCGAATGGTACATTTACTATATAAAATGAAAGTTTGGAGAAATAGCTTGCGAACGTTGAAAGTCATTTCTGGAACGTTACTTAAAAAAAAATATTCTTTTAGCATTATTCCCAAAACGTGAAGTTTCTTTAACATTATTTAAACACTAACAACATGTATTAACAACTTCAGAAATGAATTAGAAGTCTGACATCACTGCCAAAATTCTTTTCTCCATCAAATTTACGCTTTAATGCAGTAAGCGGAGTTTCTGGAGCAGAAACACACGATAACTTTCAAGTTTGCATTTTCCAAAATTCTATATCTAAATAATCTGTCTGTATAAATTGATAGAATATTAAATATTTGAGCTTTTTCACTTTATTTTGTCAACATGTCACTCTATCTATGTTTCTATCAACCCAACGACAATTCATCATCGAAGAGAAATACCAACGCAAACAACTGTGACCAGAAAAGAAACTCACTTCGGTCGCTTCGTTGATGTCGGGGCCTCACGATAAAAAAAAAAGTAAATTAAAAAAAAAAACTACTTATATGACTTCTTATTCTTTACTGGAATCGAAAATTACAACTTGTTAACAGACGTATTGGACACTGACAGAGACCTTAAAGCTACTTGTAGGGCTTTGAGTTTTGAAGGGGTACCTCTGAGGGAGACGTCGAGCAGGCGCAGGAGGAGGCGCTGGCCGGGCGGCGCGCGCACCGACCACTGGCAGCGCAGCTCCCCCACGTAGTACTGTGGGTAGGCGGGCGTCTGCAGGAAGCCCTCGCCGTGCGCCGTCACGGCGCGGCTGCACCACCGGCTCGCGTTCACTCCTGCAACACCGTTCAACACAGCCTTCACATCGCGTTCACCTCCGCAACACCGTTCAACACAGCCTTCACACTTCAGCAACATTGTTCAACAAAGCCTTAATACAGCATCGGCTCGCGTTCACCCCTGCAACACCGTTCAACACAGCCCTCACATCGCCGGCTGGCGCTCACCCCTGCAACACCGTTCAATCCAGCCTTTACACAGAGCCGGCTCGCGTTCACCTATGCAACACCATTCAACGCAGTCGTGACACAGTGCCGGCTACGTATACGTTAGCCCCTGCAACACTATTCAACCCATTTTCCAGGCTATTCTGGATGAGCCCCGTCTCTGTTGTGGTGGCTGACGTTTCGGCCAACATGTGCTGTTCCTCAGAGCGCACGGCTAGCGAGGGCCGCCTTATGTGTGGGAGAAAAAGTTAGCGGGATTGGTCAAGGTGACGACAAATAGGAAGCGGGCAAGTAGTATGGGATTGGTGGGGGAACGGAGCTATGGTGGGGTAGAGGAACAAGTGGGGCTCATGGGTAAGGTAGCAATGAAAAGTGGGAGAAATTGAGGCGAATTAATGTGTAAAAACACAAAGACGGTACTTCTCGTGTGCGCCGGCGTTCATAAACATCTGGTTGGTCACTGTTCGGAGCCAACGTAACCCTGGGTTTACGCGTGTGCACGCTAGCAGCAATGGCCGAGATTGTAGAACGATCTGTTTTTCATTGATTTATTGATTGATTAGTGATTCGGGGCGCGTGAACTGCTGAGGTCATTAGTCCTGTAAATGCAGTGCATTTTTCATTCGCAAGATGTAGCGGTGATCTTGTCTCACTGGCTTGTAAGATCCGGCGCCAAGCGACGCCAATCCGCGGGGATTACCCCTAACCAGGTTTCTTCCATCAACGTGGCACCGCCCCAGCTGCACGTACAAGCTCTGAGCTCCCGACATGTGTGGTAGCGAAGTGCACGTGTGTGTGTGTGTGTGTGTGTGTGTGTGTGTGTGTGTGTGTGTGTAAGGGGTGATGATAGGACAAGAAAGAGGGATGAAACCTCGCGCGCAGTCCGTGGCCCATTTGTTAGGGTATTCGCCCGGTATTGGTCGGAGAAAGCACAGAAAACTGCCGATCAGAGAAGCTGGTCGCCAGAATTCTCCTCCAGACAGCGGCTGAATTCCACCTAGCTTCAAGATAGTGTCAAGAATCCTATCTGCTTAGTGTCAAAAATCGAGAGACTGTGCGTTCAGGAGTCTAGGATTTCCGTGTGAGAGGCACCGCGGTGACATCGGTTGATGCCCTGAGCCACCTTTCCCGGCGGAATCGTATATGATATTCAACAATAAGGAACGTATGCCCACGTAAGCTTCCGCAGCTCGATTCAATAGATTCTTGGCTACCCGGGAGACGCCGCGTCGTTGGCTGAGAGACCTTTATAATAATAATAGTAATAATAATAATAATAATAATAATAATAATAATAATAATAATAATAATAATAATTATTATTATTATTATAATAATCTTACGTCTCCCGGATGGCCAAAAATTTAATAATGAACGTATGCCTGAACAAGGCGACAATATGACTCGCCGCTTTGTTTCCATAGCTCCTCCGTCACCCATTGCTTTTCCCAAGGTTTTTCTAATGTCCACGTGGGTGCGCTGCCAGCGCCTTCCTCTGCGTCGCGTGGGCGGGAGAGAGTTGCGCCGTCGGAGGACGGATGCGAGGAAGAGGCGGGGGCGGCGGGAAGACTTGAGCGGCAGAGGAGTGGGCGTATTTTGAGGGGCGCTGCTCTATCTGGCCCGTGCGGTAGCTGCAGCGTTGATACAACGGCGATACGCGGCAAAGGCATCGGAATCTGCTAGTAGACAAACTGCTCTAGCAAGTCATAGCAACGTGTACTAAACGCTATTGTCCAGGTATTCTTATCTAAAATGTTTATTATATTTTAAATTTTATTTTATATTATTTTTATTATAACATTTTAACATTTACTGTTCTTATGTCCAGTTATTATTAATACATATTTGAAAATGCAATCATTTTGACTGTTATTTGCTGTTAATCGAGCTCTTGACGTTAATACCTTTAACCTTTCTATAAAGAAACTTATTTTAAAAATAAAAGCGATAACTGATTATCGCTATATTAGGAAAGTTTATTAGTTTTTGGCATCACAGTCAATAACTTCTGGTGATTATAATGTGCAGGAAAATTTATTTTCTTCTACAAGGCTATTGAAACACCACAGAGTAAAGATCACAATTACTTGTAGACCTCGAAAGTTTGGGGCCTTTGCAGGGTTATGACAATTTATAGAAATGCTGTATCTTAAATACTAAATGATCAAGGAAGAGTATGTAAAACATATAAAGTACGAAGGAAATATACATTGCAATAAGAAAAATGTGGATTGAACTGTAATTTAACCTGCAAGAAGAATCAAAGTAGTATTATCGTAGTATCAGAGTTCTAGGGAAGTACCTTTTAATTTAATCGAAGGTTTGTATATTACGGAAACAGAATGAACCAAATAAGGGAGAGCAGAATAATCAGTGCGAGGGAAAGGGTTTTCCCCGTGACGAAAAATCTAAATTTATCCGTGGTCAAGTCGCTTTTGTAGATTTATATCTGTGGCGGCTTGGGATACGCATGAATATCCTTTAAGCTTATCTTTATGTTGTCTTTGCGTGCGTTGCACTACAATTTATGTTGGTCACAGGCTCTAATCGCAGCTAACACTTCATGTCGCCATCTCCCTGATTTAATCTCTTCTCAAAATAAACTTTCTTTTTCGGTGTCGGATTTTTCAAACTAGTTCACATATATAAAGCAATTTTATGACAATACCTACGAATTCTTATGTTAATTTTAAGAGCATTGCTTGCAATACTAATAGAATGAAACTAGTGGTAGTACAGAATGGCACAAACTTTCTTGCACTAGTTTCCTAATGACTTTCGTCTTGGTTAGTTTTTCGGCATTGCAGATGCAGGAATATTTTTTCATTTTCTCAATTTTTAGATCCCTTAATAATATTGATTAATTGTTAGTGATTCCGGGAGCGTCTATTGCTAAGGTTATTAGTCCCATAAATGTAGTGCATATTTTTCCTGGTGAGGTGGTGATCTTCCCCCGCTGGATGGCGAGATCCGACACAGACCTACCGTCGGCTAGCGGGGTTTTCCCTAACCAGGTTTCTCCCACCATCGGGCCACCGCCCCAGCTCGGAGAAGCTTAAGCTCCCGATGCGTCTCCGGGTATGCGGGGTAGTGTAGTGCATGTTAGTGTAAGGATTTGGCAGAACATTATATGCCACAAAGGTGAGCTTTGGCGGCCTAGGGCAAATTGGAATTGTTGTTGAAGAAATGTCGTTTGAGCTTCTTTAAACATGCGCAATTTTGAGCCCATTTTCTCAGAAAACTTTTGAGTTTTCGAGAAACTTGACTGAAAATCACTTTTGTTACTTCTACTCACAAATGAAATTATGTATAAAAATGTTCGTAATGTAAGTATGTATTGAGAAAATTTTTAAAATGTCCAAAGGGCTTCACGAAAACTACTCCTAAAACGTCAAGAATTCTTTCGAAAATCTCAGGGATTCAAGTCGGGTCAGCTCGATCGGGTAATACTCATTTTGGAGAGATCCAACGAATAGTTTACGCGCCACAATGTTGTTCACAGACGGACGGACGTTTAAACGATAAACCTTTTACGTTTCCAGGGGGTGCCAAAACGTATATTTCCGTTAAAATATTGAAAACTATTTTCCGAAGCATTACATTTTTTCTGTACACTGCGTTTAGCAGTTCCCGGACAGCGAAGAATCAACTGCGTGTGCACAACCTGCATAAGCGTACGTACACGAGAAAGTATAAATAAATAAATAAATAAATAAATAAATAAATAAATAAATAAATAAATAAATAAATAAATAAAAATAAAATAAATAAATTAAAAATAAAAAAGCAGGAAGGCTATCGCGGTCACCTGCAAGCACCTTTCATCGAGTGGTTCCGTTCGCTCGGTGCTCAGCGCTCGGCACTTGAAAGACTCGCGCCTCCCTCGTCGCTTCCGAGGCTGCGTGTTGCCGGCGTGGATCCCGTAATTTTCCGCCCTAAACCGTAGCGGCGGCGGCGGCGTTCATAAGCCCGTGATGGATGGCGGGGCGGCGAATCAATCACGCGTGCCGCCTTCGCACGGGAGCCCTCGTGGCGCGGTTTGAATGGGCGGCGCGGAGGCGGAGGCGATGACGCATGGCGGCGCGGGGAGAGACGGGATTTGGCGAAATGGAACGGAGGGAGGGGGCGGTTCCCGCCGGGGGCGCAAGGGGGCGCGCTCCGCTTGGCAGCTGCGGCGAGCTGCACAATGCGGCCCGAATTAATAGAGACCGCGTGACCCCCGTGCTCCAGGCCCCAGGCCCCGGCCCCGGCACGAGGAGGCTCTCGCCTCCGCCGCCGATCAAGGCTCAACATTTCATTTTTGGGGCAAGTGGAAATCAAACATTTCCCGTTCTCGCTTCCTTAATAATCACAATCGAAACTGCGATAGATCCTACTTTCATGCAAAAGTACTAAAACTTTTGAAAAGTTGTACATGATGATATTTCAAAATAGTACATCTTTAAGGAACAGATTTCATTAAGGGAAAAATCTCTACCTTTAATAATTTAGCTGTAGGAAGAATTAAACTGAAAAAAAATATTGAACTTTTACAACTTTCGGAAGATCAGGGTTTTCAACGAACATGAGTTCAGCACCATTCTCTTAAACGTCCTTCACACTATCCAACAGCAAAATTTGATCAAAAACGATGGAGTCATTTGTTGAAAATTTGGAAAATGTCCCGGGGGCGTCATGTAAAGTATCGCCTAAAATAAAATATCGGTTTCAAATTCGAGGGACCGTGACAGCCAGATTGAGAGGGGAGTATAAATTTTAAAGAAAATAGGCTGAGCTGTTTAGCTGCTAGCGTTGCTCACAGACGGACGGGCAGACAAACGTTTTGCTGTCATTCGATTTGCGGAATCAACGACTCACAAAACATGAATTCTGGTTACACCACGTGTTAGAGGATTTTTTCTCTATTTAGCAACTGGATTTATCCACTTTTTCGAAACCAGGGCTATGTAATAAAGTTTTTCTGCCGAAAGTGCGCCGTTTTTTCGCTCAGCATTACATAACTTTCTCTACTCTGTAGCGAGTATAAAAGCGTGATATTTCATTCGCATCACAAATTCTTTGACCTTGTTGTCATACATTATAGCATTTTCTTATTCGGTCTCCTATCGGATCATTTCGCTTCTTTTTTCCTCTCTTTTTTTCAACACTGCACTTTTCCGCAAGTGGTAGTTCTTTAACCAGCAAAATGTAAATGGTTTCATTCCGTAAATTATGTGCAACCATTACTC